ATATTCACCCAGGAAACTAAATTTAAGTCAGAGGGGAATAGCTGAAAGGAAAGGGCTGAATTTAACTTTATTATTGTACTCAAAACTTTATTATGAAATGTTAAAAAATCTGAATGTCTTTAATTTGTGACCAATTGTAATTTTTGTGACATAAAGAATGCAAATTAATGGCTATGAAGTATCGGGCAACTAAGTTGAAGTGAGAGTTGATCTACAGATCTTATTAAAGTTATTTGTTTGATTATTTGAATCACCTAACATAATTTGTGTAGAGATGCTCGTAGCCTCCTCCTGGTCCTCACTTACCTCTTATTTAAAAGTAACGAAAACAACTCTGAAATCCACAGGCCCTGTGCTGACGCTTCCCGCGGCGCATGCACAACACCGTAGATCTAATGCGTTCACATCTCCACCCTGAAAGTCTAGTGGGTATGATAAACAGCAAGGCTATAAACACTAACAGGAAAGACTGATAAGCTGAGTGCATTGCAATGAGAATCTTAAAAGGCTTAAATGATATGTCGTATAAATATTCTGTTAAAGAGTTCATAAGTCTAATTTCCATGGTTTCTTTAGAATGCTAACCAAACAAATATCACAAGGCATTCGAAATGAACAACAAAGTACTCGAGAAACAACCAATCTTCGAGAACTAAAACCTAAACAAAACTCCCCGTTGAGGACACTAAACAAGGTCAAGGACAAACCCAACCACCACTAACCATCGGTCAAGGACACATCACACAGAATGTAAAAATAAAAATGAGATCTAACACAAGATTCGCAGAAGGATTTCAAGAGAATGAAACGTGCCTAAACAATTCAAAACACTTAGTCAGAAAATTACTAATTTAAGTAGTTCCCAAATGATTCTAATTGTAGTAGTTCATAGCATCTTGTTAAGTTGCTGTTTCTGGACGGTTTGTCGATGATCAAGACGTTCTTGATTCCACTTTATAGTTTGCGAGCGCTGGAGTCGTCCGCTGCACGTTAGATGCAGAATACAACAAATTCCCTTTTACTGGTATCCCATGTTTGGCAAATCTCATCCATGCTCCTGCTATGGAAAACTAGGCACGCTATGGAGTTGTAGTTACTCTTACGGTTGCTGTTTGGAGAACTGTATACATGTGGTACAGTTTGCCGTCAGTTGCTTTATGTCTCTTGATATACCTGGTCAAAATAAGCAACCTCCTGTTTTCAGAAGATATTTTCATGTTTCCATTTATCCTTGGTGTGTGTTTTGCATCATTTGCTGGAGGGGCTTACAGGAGATTACTAGGCGGTGTCCCTTGAGAATATGGCTATTTTATTCTGTAACTCCAGAGTTCTCCCAAGCCATGGGGGCATCCATTCGGGTATTCTCATCACCCATGGTTTACCACATCCTATAAGTGGGCAAGTACGCTGTCTAACATTGATCGGTGCACTCTCGTATTTCTTCTGGTTTGTCAAAACTAGCTATTACTTGCTTGTGATCATATCAGCTTTAAGCAATGGTGCTACCATGTTTTTCCATAAAAGTGTGAAGGCTGAGTTTAAATTATTACCTTGCAGCTTGTGAATCAGAAGACATTGGTTTGGCCTCTGGTGGTGCAATTCCAGACAGCAGCTTTTTCTGCCTCCTCGTATTATAGTAGTGGCTATAAACCCTCTTTTGGTAGACTGAACGGAGCTAGTCGGGGCTGGGCGCCCAAGACCAAGACCAATTCTGCTGACTTCCTACAAATTGACCTGCTGTATGAGTACGTTATTTGTGCTGTGGCTACCCAAGGATCTAATGGTACAAGCGAGTGGACAACAAACTACAAGATTCAGTTATCAATGGATGGTATCAACGCTGTCACCTACCAAGAAACCAATGTTGACAAGGTAGGTATATAAGAAGGTCATGCGCAGATACATTAACATATCAAAACAGCCAAAACTATATGGGTCCTAGAACACTGATTCAATTTTTGAGTCAAGAGAAGGGACACAAAAGAAGTGTGTACCTTGTCAAGACTCAGTCTCAATTACCTCTTTTTGAGTAAGTTGCAAAATGTGTCTGGAATGTACATTGTTCGTTCCAGCAAAAGCACAGACCTATGTGCGTATACATTTTCTTGTGTATAAATGTAATTACATAGTTCATTCTCAATACTATTTAAATGTTAATTAACCCACGTCTTGTGGACTTGCTGACTATCACTTCTTAAATTTACCCTTTGATTTATGGAACTGCTTAGAACAATACACAGGAGATATCAACTAAAGTGATTACCCACAGAGGAATACTAATCTTTGTGTGGTCATTGAAAAGGATAAGGAGTGTATCAACGGAACTGAGCGTCTATATAGCTTTCTTTATTCAACTTGATTACCTTTTGTCCTTTATGGAAACATCATGGACAATTCTGTTCCCACTCAGGGTGTGATTTCAAAATGAAACCTTCATACAATTTAGTGTTAAACTATTCCTTTAATTTCTAACTTTTTTAAAAAAGAAGAAAACTGCCTGACAGATCAGGTCATATTATTTGTTTCGTCTTTGTTTCCACCAATGTGATTCTTAGTGAACGATTTTTTACAACCGATGGATTATGTTCGATAGTTTATTGTTTAAAAAAAGATGGAGCATGTAATCGAGAACACAGAAAACATTTTGCGAAAGTGTCTCTTATTTTTCGGTGTGTTGTCGAACCACTAGTTCTTTTATTATGATCTCTCACAAACTACATGCATCTCTCCCCAAGTTAGTTACCAGAGATGATATGCAAGGTCACATACTGATTTGGGCTAGTTTTTTAAAAACCGAAACTAAGTCTTTCAAGAGCATTAGCCATTACAGACATGGATATAGCTGATGTGTAATAGTGGAAAATGATGCAGTAGAATAAAGAAAATTTTGATACAATAATTTCAAATTTGTACCACAAACTATAGGTCTTTCCCGGGAACTCAAATCGAAATGGCATCGTTAAAAGCAGTCTTCGGAAGTTTTCAAGTGGAAAGTTTATCCGCTTTCAACCAACAACATACCACAGGTGGAAGGTTCTGAGAGTGAAAGTTTATGGAGTACTTCTAACTAAAGGTATTTATTTAAAACTGAAATTAGCATTGTCCAGATCAGTTAAATAATTATTTAGTAAATCAAGTGATCAGAAGTACGCAAAAAATCTCTAAGGGATACCACCTTATCAGATTTAGGGAGAACCATGCGATCAGCAATGCGTCAGTCTTTGTTCAAATATGCATCTGCGAAACACTGGAACGATCTCCCAAAAGAGTTAAGAGAACTCAGGTCCTCATTCTTCGTTCTTTCTCCGCATTTTATCGACCTCGACTTTGTCTCGGTCCATAAAAATGCAAAAAAAGAAAAAAAAATCAACAAAATCCAGCCATCTCGATCTCACGCTTGGTAAATAACGCAAATGCATTGATAGAGCCTGAGTAGAATGAGAATTTTTTTGAAATGAATAAAGAACTCACCACAAGAGAATTTGACAATCGATAGCTTTAAATCTCTTTGAGCCTTACCTCATCTACTCTACTGAGATCCTTCATGTTCTTCGTTTGCTAAGTGAAACAAAGTTCTACTTACAATATTTTTATTCATGCTTGGTATAATCCGGTGTGTGATGTGATTGTTTGCACTCAAATGCTTTGAAGATTCTGGAAGCTAATGGGTTGCCATTGCGACACAATCGCTTTCCCAACTATCCGCAGAGCAAGTCTTCACGCTTAGGATGTAAATAATGTATATCTAATGTATATACACAGTCCCATCTGGTGATGATACTCCACACTCCTCTAGGGAACATTTAATGCTTTCTTAGTTCACAAGGATGATTAATTCACTTTTGCATCAATAATCAAAAGAGAATTAAAACACATGATTATTGTTCTTTAACATTTCAGTTCCGTCACAACCTCCTGCTGCCTTCAATTTGACTGCAAGCTCTTCTACCAGCATCACAGCTTCCTGGCAGTTACCACCAATCTTTGCCAGGCATGGGAGAAACATTACAGGGTTTAAACTGTTTTAAAGACAGAAGGGCTCTGCAGGGTGTTATTCCATCTGGAATATTACCAGTGGATCGACATTAAGCAGACTTGTGACTGGGCTCGAAAAGTACACAGAATATGAGTTTCAAGTCCTGGCGTATACTTCTGATGGTGATGGACCAAAGGGCCCTGTTAAGGTTGAGAGAACACAGGGAGATGGTATGTGCTAGATGAAGCTGGAAGCGAAAAAAATGATCACAGTTTTGAATGGAAGAAATTTCAGTGGACCTGCGAATGAAATTAAAGAAAGAAATGTTCTCGTTTACAATTGGAGAAGGAGAGGTAGAAAAAATTCAGGCTTCAATAGAATTCAAAACTGTGCCTCCCATAACTGGGCTACGAAGCTACATATTGAGAGCGAGGCAAGTTTTAGAGGCTTCTCTGTTGGGTCAATGTAAAATTCTTATTTGTTAATGGCTGCCCTCTTACAAATAATGGAAGACAAACACATAGGGCTTCCACGGTGTCCCTGTAAGGTCTTCCAAATAAATTACGGCTCCCATAGCTACAAATTCTTTGAAAAACAGCAGTCAGCCCCCATTCCAAGCCATGGGTCTGTTTCCTGGTCATATGTAAACTTTCCAACAGATTTTTATTGATTGTTTAGGTTGTGTTCAGTATGATCTTGGAATGGAGGGTGGAAACATTCCAGACAGTAGGATAACTGCTTCTTCTTCCAGGACACCAGCCAAGAATGGTCGACTAAACTATGCATTAGGAGCACCATGGTGTGCAGAAACAAATGACACTAGCCCTTATCTACAGGTTGATCTACAGACACTTCATATCCTCTGTGCTGTGTCTACTCAAGGGAATTCTCAAGCAGATCAGTGGGTGAAGGACTACACACTACAAATATCCACAGATGAAACAACTTGGACAGACTACAAGGAAGGCGGACAAGTCAAGGTATATAGGAAATACAGTATGAGACATAACTGCTGTAAAAAATGCCCAGTGTACACTTAGAAAATTAGTATAACATGGATTATTAAGTCTGACGATAAAGAATATCTTACAATTAAAATGATATCGAAATCTTTTCCTGATTAATTGTTGATCTTATGGTATCTTCACTGTTTATAATTTTATACCCTGCTATTTTTTCCAATTTTCGAAAAAAAGTTATTGATGACATGTGACTATTTGTTTGTTTCAAGTTTCTAAGAGGAAATGATGACAGGAACTCAGAAGTGAAGCATGTTGTTTATGGAGTGTTAACAAGATTCTTACGATTTCTGCCACAAACACACCAGGGTGGAGTGTGCATGAAACTAGAGGTGTTTGGAGTAGAAAAAGTTTCAGGTGAGTTGGAAAA